GATCTTTTAAGGGATATGGCTCAATAAGCTCGCTCTTCCGTATATATGCACCATATAACGATCCACTCAGATCAAGGGACCAAGGCTGTGCCCGAGTCAGATTTACTCAGAGAGCCATAAGCACCTTCTGACCCTGTCACTGTTAGGGTTGAACTTTACCAACTTATGGGAATGGTATACGAGTCTATAGATTGTTGGTGTCTGGTTTATTTGATCCAGGGCATTAATGTCTGTGGATGCATCTTAATGCTTATTGCATGTAGGCAATAACAATGTTGTTTTCTTTTTCTTGCTCCTGCAGTATTTCCGTATTTCCATCCAATACTGGCTAATTTTTTTTTGTATTTTTAGTAGAGACGGGGTTTCACTGTGTTAGCCAGGATGGTCTCGATCTCCTGACCTTGTGATCTGTCCGTCTTGGCCTCCCAAAGTGCTGGGATTACAGGCATGAGCCACCCTGCCTGGCCGACAAAACTTTTTAGAGATTTGTCCATACGGGCACTGAAATAACATTTTTGTAAAGTAGCCTTCTCTATGTTGATTGCAGATGTTTGTATCTCAGAATTGTGAGTCTACTTGCTCTCTCACATAGCATCATTATTTCCTTATTCCTAATAATTTTCATCACAAACATTTCCCAGCTCTGTCCCAATCAAGTTCTTATTTCTCTGATTGGAATTATAATTTATAAATGTAGGTCCACATGCAGATAGCTTAATAAGCAGTGAGTGAAACACCAGTGTAGAAATAAATGAATGTGGACACACAAAAGAAAAACAGAAAAACAATGTGAGAAAAAGTGCATATACTGAATATGGGATGAACTGATGCAGTTAAGGAAGACAACTCAAAAGGCAACTCATGGCTGGGCAAAGTGGCCAACACTTTGGGAGGCTGAGGCGGGAGGACTGCTTGAGGCCAGGAGTTTGAGACCTTGTAGCTATTAAAAAAAAAAATTAGCTGGGCATGGTGGCTCATGCCTGTAGTCCCAGCTACTTAGGAGGCTGAGATACAAGGATTGCTTGAGCTCACAGTGAACTGTGATCGTGCCACTGCACTCCAGCCTGGGTGACAGACTGAGGCCCTGTCTCACACAAAGGCAACTCATTTGAGCTAAGGCTTGGCTATACTTTTAATTGTCCACATAGAACAGAGGAAAAACAATCTTTTTCATCTTTTTTAATCTTCCATTTACCTTTTAGTAAGACAAATTCTTATCTCTATGTAAAACTGTGGAAGAACAGTTACAGAGATTGTTGCAGCTTAGATTATTTTCAACAAGTTTAAATTCTACACGTAAGGATTCATACCATTTTTACCAGCTACACTTTAAAATGCCAGACTTTAAAAATTCCTCTATGTGTATATGTGGTTTCGTCTCCTTTTCAAAAATTCATGCCTGTGAAATTTTTAGGAATATTTTTCAAAACTTTAGTACTGAAGCATTAACTTTATGTGATATAGCACCTTTAAATTTCTGTTTTTATTCACCCAAAGAATGAGAATTACGGTACATTTAATCATTCCTTTTGCTAGTATTTATAATTTCAGCAAATAGGATAGCAGTATAGTACCTAAAATAAACTATTAGGAATAACTGAATGCCTACCACAGCAACAGAGCTTTAATGAGGTTGTCACATACATATCCATGCCAACATAGCAGTGCACATTTTACATGACCAGTCTCTTATGTAGTTAAAAATAAAACTGCAGTTTTAAAATGTCAAGTTTCTCAAACTTACTGGATTTTAAAACAAAGCAAACAAAAGAAACAAGGATTTTCTAATCTATCTACAAGCAGAAATGCCAGAAAATAAAGCTACAGTATTCCATACAACTTAAATTTCCTTTTCTAAGTCATGACATTTCTCTTTTGTTCTCTTTTTTTTTCTTCTAAGATTAAGAAAATTTAAAACATAAATGAAGATAAAAACTGCTTAATATGGCAAGGGATAAGAATGAAACTAGATTTTTTTAGTAAAGAGGGAAATTTTATACCACCACACAAATTAAAAGTGTTATGCAATGAAAAACAATAATGGAAACAGCATAATGCTACATAATATCCCAGTTTCCTGTGTTCTGAAGAACCACTGCTATACTAAATACTAACTTGACTTATCTGAAGTATTCAATACTTTCTGATAACCCAAGCAGCATTATATTAATGCTGTTAGAAAAATACTACAAAATGTCCTTCTACCTCTCCTAGAAGAAATACACCAGGAAACATAAGCCTGATGAATAACTACTAAGAATCTTGTCTTTTAATACAAGTCTCCTTCTAAACACAAAATACTAGCTTTTTGTAATGTGGTTAAAAGGAATAATGGAAAGGAAATGACTGGCAATAAACATTTCCTATTTTGCACTAGGGTGAAGAAGCCAAGACACAAATATTTGGAAGCCACTTTAGTTTCTCACTCCTTTTCAGCCTAATAGTAGGAAAATATTAGGTACCTACTTAATTCACAAATTCATGAAACAGGGTGGACAACAGCCTTGAGTAGCGGAAGCATTTGGAACGGTAATCAACTACTTAATTACATAACAGGGAGCTGGGCACACAAAGAAAAGGGCTCAGAAGAAGTATCTTGAAAAATAAGCAACGTAGAAGCTGAGGACAGAAGTGAGGCTAATCAAATGTTCTTAGGAAGATGTTGCCCCCCTGAAAATATGCTCCCCCAATAAAACACATAAATAATTACTCTTAAGGAAAATATTTTCTCTAAAGAATGTCACAGTTTGGAGTGAAGTTACTTAACAAAACAGGGAATAAAACCTTTATGTTGGCTGTAGCAGTTATTTTCTTTGGGTAGATTATACTTAAAATATTTCCTTCATACATACTTCTGTTAAAAATGTTTTTTTCCCCATTCTTGAGTTTTACAATATCTCCTTCCCAAACTTCAAATTTCATTAGAGGCGGCTACATTTGTTTTAGTGCCAGATAAAGATATCAAGTGATGACAGACACTTATGTGAGGTATACAATCAGTTAAAGACTGGAAATTGGGGTATTATCATGTAAGACATTTGAGGGGCCAAAAGTCATATAATTTTAAGATACTTCATGATGTTACAGTAATAATTCATCTATATGACAATTATTTTGACATAAGTGGCATATCAGAATTTAACTTATTTACTTGGATCTTAAGGAATATTAGATGTATTTTCACATGAACACTCAAATCATGCTATTATCATCAGTCATTGGGAGAATAGCCAAAGTAATCAGGTGGTGTAAGGCACATATAGACCCAATAATTTAGGAATTTTCACCATTATGAAGTACCCTGTTCTTAATAAATATGACAATAACAGGTGCTTGAAATGGGGGCAGTCTGAATTAGTACCCGGTAAATTGTATACTTTTATAAAGTACTGAATTTAAGAACATAAACTGAGATACAAAAGGAATGTCCTAACTTTAAAAAGGTGACTTCTATCTTAGTAGACTTCTGTAAAATAACTTACCTTATATTTAAAAGTCATTTACATACTTGAAATCAGCAGTAATCTAAAAAAAAAATTAAAAGGCAGTTTTCTTGGGTAATGAACCTGTGACTCCAGACAGACAACAATGTGGAAATTAACTCAGGAGACTGACTCTCTACTCTAGTAATTCAGTGGTTTCTTACTTTATAAAGGTTTGGAAGAATCAATGAATTTCTTTTTTTCTTAAGACAGGGTCTCGCTCTGTTGCCCAGGCTGGAGTGCAGTGGCACGATCACAGCTCACTGCAGCCTCGAACTCCTGGGCTCAAGTGATCCTCCATACTCTGGACTCCTGAGTAGCTAGGGCTACACACATGAGCCACCATGCTCAGCTAATTTTTATTTTTATTTTTGGAGACAGAATGTCTCACTATATTGCCCAGGTTGGTCTCTAACTCCTGGCTTCATGTGATTCTCCAGTCTTGTACTCCCAAAGCACCAGGATTACAGGTCTGAGCCACCACACTCAGCCAATGATTTTCAAAATGCTAATTAACCTCTTTCAGACACAGGATCTGGCGGAGTAATGAGAAGACACTGGTCTTTCTTAACATCTTTCCTCTATTATCTTCCTTTTCTTATTTTTGCCTCTCAATTCGTCACATACAGTTACAAAATACATGAATCAGGATTTGTGTTGGCATGAAAATTATATACAATACAATCAATAAGTGAAGAAGGGAGGGGGTGATGTGGCTCTAGTCCCAAAGTTAATGTCACAAAGAGAACTAATGTATTTGTATTTCTTAGATCTTCTTCTATTTTACTCTTAATACCAAAAGAGTCCTATCATTTAACATTTTTATATAAAGTATTTTGTAGTGTTTATTTTTGATGTGACCAAATGAAAAGCTTTCTGAATTTTAAAGTGCAATTCACTGTATGTTAATACACAGCCTGCATACAACCTAACTGCTTCAAACTTGGCATCAAATGCTGTCTTTTTGGTACTTACAAGTAGGATGTGGATAAAGATATTTGACGAGAGGGCAACAGTGTTTGTTAAGGTCTTTTCAAAAGCCCATTTGAGATTATTCAGGCAGGCTCATCAGTTGACGGCTAGCCTATCTTTCCTTCTTCCTGTTAGTCTTACTGCCTTTTTACCCATTTCATTGTCTGTCAAGTCCTCCTCCAGAAGAAGAGGCAAGGGAAATAAATGAAAATGAAACCCATTAATTTCCAATATTCACAATGAAATCAATCACATCATCAATCTGTATACTGCCTGACCATTTTTCCGGATCATTTTCTATTAGCAACATAGTCCCTTTAGTTTGTACTTTACAACTAGTATTTTCTACCAGCATGCACAGTTTAAAAAATGGCTTGAAGAGCCAGATAAGTTTCAAATATATCCAATATAATTATAAATATGGTCATTTTCTTGATTACTAGAGATCTGTGCCTGATGGAATCACATTTTGTGAATTAGCAATAGTTTGGTAATAATTCACACAAAATTTCCCATAATTACTAGGAATAACTGAAAGCTGGGAGTACGAAACTTTCATTAACTCAATATTATGTAGTCATTTGGGCCAGCAAAAAGTATAAAATATTATTTCCAATAACCACTGTGGACAAAAATGTGAACAGGATAATATAACATTTTGAAAATATTTTAATATTTGCCATTTTTTGCCTGTGCTATTAATATATACATTGATTTAGTAATAAATATACTACTATTACATAGAGTGCAATATTTTTTAGTATTCATAACTGGTTGAAATTAATGCTGCTATAACCTCAAGAAAGGAATAAATAAATATCATATCCAAATTCCAAACTAATGCTCAAAAGGTTATCATTAACAAAAACTATAAAATAAACATGTTGGGCATATCTCTTTAAGCATGATTCCTGTAAACAAAGCAAAAAAATCACTTTTCTCAGTCCTGACATTTCACATGATGGCTTTAAAAGAAAATATAACATACAAATCCTATCACTTTTTTTTTTTTTTGCATAGGGAATGAATTAATTGTATTTTTTAATGCAGCAATCTTTTAATGAAATGTTTTCATCACATAGTACTTGTTTTCTGTATGAATTCAGAACTTTTGAGCAATAAAAGTGCTCTGCATAAGTTTATAAAATATGCTTTCTGGATTTAAAATTTAACAGAAAAATTTCCAAACAAGTCATAAGTATGATCCTAAAATATTATGTACATAATATATGACCACAGGAGGAAATTCCTCACTGTAGTACAACACAGTGTACAAATATGAAGCACAGTGTTTAGTATAATTTCCCTTTAGGTTTTCCTCACATTGGTGCATAAGAGGCTGACTACATTACACAACATGCCCCATTCTACTTGTTGCATACAAAGTAGAAGAGGGATGTGAGGACAAATTTAAAGTAGAAAATGAAAATAAATGGCAAAAATACAGTGCAAATGCTTTAAACAGTGCACTTTATAAAACAGTTTGCTTTATTCATACTTTTTTATAAAGTGCAATATTACTTAAAACAGAGAGACATGTACCTTAATATTCTGCAATAACCATTAAAACAAATTGCCAGGAAAGAGCAGTGCAAAATTAAAAACATACACATAGCTTAGCATGCATCTCAGATGGATCCCGAATACAGAGTATGGGACCTTGAGTTCTTATATCTTTTTTTTTTTTTCCACTTTTTAGAAAAAGATTAACAATAGCAGGTTATCATCATATGTAACCATAAAATAAAAACAATAAGTTAAAATCTTCTCTCAAGAAATAAGTATATGCCACACATAAAATTCATTACAGAATCTTTTTTGAAAACAGACCCCTTTCTCTGATAAATCACTGTTTGAAGGGTGCAAATTCCAAAAACCCACATTGTCCACAAGGCAAAGCAAAAGGTATCATCACAGTATGAGTCATTTCTTGTTGGCAAACATCTGGAAAACCTGTGACTTATTCTGCAAGCAGCTCAAATCTAGCCCTAGTTAAATTTACAGGACCTTTGCTCTTTCAAGAATGGTCTTGTTGGCATCATGCTAGCTTGCTAAAAAGTAATATGTGCTCTATTCACAGTAACATTCTCTGTCCAGTGCTTTTAGATGAGGATAACCAAACAGGTTTTCCTGAAAAAAATCATTAGGAGGCAGATTCCAATGAGACCAACGGGAAACATTTTTAAAAGCATAAAAGATCACCTCAGGCATATGCTGAGGGAATAAAGGTGCAATGGATCACTGACACACTCCTACCATGCCTAAGCTACTGAGTCTGAGAACTGGAAGAGGGTCTCCGGGTTATTGCTGTCGGCAGGATTGCTGGGCTGCAGTGTCTTGGTGGGTGTAGTTTTACCATGAGAATGAGAGGAAGAAGAATGGGAACTCTCGCTGGAACTGCTGCGCGTCTCGGTACTGGTGCTAGTCTTTTTCATTTTTCTTCTCTTAGCCAAAGGGGCCTTATCGACATTCTGAAGGCAAAATCCCTCTCTCTTGTATTTGTTAAAGGCCTAGGGGAGAAAAAAGGGAACCCCTGTGAAGGTAAAAGTACTGACGTTTTCCTAGCAGTTACGACTTACAGCAGAAGACAACTTTCCATTGGCAACTGCAGCCCCAAGTTGTTTTAAGGGAACACAGCTCTTAAAACCTTTGTATCTAAGCCTATTGGCAGGGTGGAGAAGTTCATGGGAAAAAATTTCTGAGGGCTCTGTTTAAATCAAACTAGCTAGGTTGTCTGACAGTCACAATTCTAATAAATCTTTTGAAGAAGTTAGTACTACATCCTAATACGAAACAATTGACTGGAAATTCCTGAAGACCATCAGTAATCTAAACTACTCCCATTACTTTTAATGGTTCTGTGTCTAAGATTTAAAATTCTGCACACAAAGTCCCAATGCAAGCAGACTGGATGCATTATGAGTCTTGGCTCTTCACTCCCATTCAATGTCGTTTGGGTATATACTGGACACTTACACGCACAGAGAAGCACAGCTCTACAGCCTCGCCCTGGCTTCCTCCTCCTGCAGCCTGTCTTCACTCTCCTTGGCCTAGGCTTGGACAATGCTGCAGTTACAACCTGTAGTTGTCACCTTGCAACCTATGTCACTGAGAAGATTTGAATCATCTGATAGAAATTCTTGTAGTTAATCTCTTTACCGTCTCAACATTTCCTAGTTTCTTACTTTTTAAATCCATTTCTGCTGCTGAAGAAGCGCTATCCCTATCCCTTCTCCTTTCTCAAAATAATCCCTTTGAAGGTGACTTTCTGTCTCCCTAACTTATACTATACTTTACATGAATTATCTTAATGCATTTGCATCTGCTTGGCACAAATATGCATAATCCACAGTTTCTACCAAATAGTCTCAGTCTTTCAAACATACAATCTATACTTAATACTAATGAACTTACTTCATATCCCTCCCAGTTTTAAGAATGTGTGATGTACTAAATGGTTGTGGAATGAATGGGAAAAAATGCCTTAGTTCAAATATGCCTTAGTTCCTAATGTTTATTATGGTTTTTAAAGAAAATGATTTAGTCTATTTGAGAGGAAAAAGTTCTATTATCTCATCTCATAAGGTCATTCTAAAAATTAAATATGTATTTTGTGGGTTAGCAGTGACTCTGGTCCCCTGTGCACTTTTTGTCATAAAGTGTTTATAACCATGAAGCAAATTATAAAAACATTCCTAAAAGTGAAAGGACACTGGCCGGGCACGGTGGCTCACGCCTGTAATCCCAGCACTTTGGGAGGCCGAGGCTGGTGGATTACGAGGTCGGGAGATCGAGACCATCCTGGCTAACGTGGTGAAATCCCGTCTCTACTAAAAATACAAAAAATTAGCCGGGCGAGGTGGCGGGCGCCTGTCGTCCCAGCTACTCGGAGGCTGAGGCAGGAGAATGGCGTGAACCCGGGAGGCGGAGCTTGCAGTGAGCCGAGATCGCGCCACTGCATTCCAGCCTGGGCGACAAAGCGAGACTCCGTCTCAAAAAAACAAAACAAAACAAAAAAAAGTAAAAGGACACATATTATTTTAAATGCGAAACAAAGAAAATGTATCTGAGGCTACAGAGTAAGAACATTTGATTATGATTCCTACTCAAACCGTCCAACATGTACAGAGCACAGGGCCTTACGTGGAAGGTTGCTTTCACACAGGTATGCACGGCAGCTCCTGAAGATCCTAGAATATCCGGAGTCATCAGAGGATTGGAGGACAGCTGACTGCCATCTTGAAGCCATTCATTGTACCTCAAGCCAGACATTTTAAGCCTTTTGTTTGGATCAACTGTGAGAAGTCCTGTGGGAATAGATAGTCTTATTTTATGATTTGTCATTTTAAACATGGTTTAAAAACTCCGAAATAAATCTCAGTTATGTTCACATGACATGGTGGTTTCTATATAGCTTTAATCTCCTACAAAAATAATTAGATTTTCCTATTCATTTAAATTCTTTTATAAATACTAGATTCTAATGATAAAGTCACAGTAGCCTATTTCTAGGAAGCTGCAGGCGAAGTGGCTTTTCAATCAGGAGAAAATAAACACCCAAAACAAAGACTCCCAATGGTGACCTGGTAAGCTCCAAATGAGCAAAAAGCACACAGATCTACTTCATCCATGTACCAAACATTTACTGGCCATCTTCTACAGGTCAGGGAGTGCAGTAAGGCACTAGAGATATGGAGATGGAGATGGAGAGAAGAGCTATTATTAGAAGACACATAGGCAAAACCCCAGCTATTATAACATCAGGGACAAGTGCAATAGCAAGATACACAGGCACAGTGTTTTAGCAGGCCCAAGGGAGAGTACAGCCTGGGGAGTGAGGGTGTCCTGGAAGGCTTCTAGGAGATGAGTCCTGTAGGATAAGGAGAAGTGGCTAGGGAAGAGGATTAAGAAGAGTGTGTAAAGACACGGAGGGATCTGAAAGCTCGGCACATCTGAGGAATTCAAATATTCTGCAACAGCAGAGCTGGGGTGAGGAGGAAGCAAAGGCAGACAGGACCAGGTCATGAGGGGCTTTGAATGTTAAATGCTAGGCTAAGGAGTCTGACCTAAAGCAAACAGAGTCTCCAAAGGATTTCCAGCAGAAAAGAGGCATAATCACATTTGGATTCTAGAAAAGTCCCTCTATTGATAGATGATGAACAGCTTAAGTCAGAGGAAGTGAGGCAAGGTGAAAGGATGCTGCAGGATTTGGGGAGAGAAATGGTGATGAGAACAAAGGCAACGACATGTGAATGGGAAGGAAGGGACCGTTATGAGTGCTGCTGAATCTGTAGAACTCTGTGACTGGCTGCGGAAGGCAAGGCAGGTGCAGGTATCCAGGAGGATGCCTAGGTTTCTGTTTTCGTGATCTGGCTTCTTAGCAGTGCCACTGCTGACAGGATGAAAGACAGGAGGAGGAGAGTGTTGGGGGGAAGGGACAGTTAAAAAGTATTGGTTTGTTTTAGATGTGTTTGACTGAGATGCCAGTGGAAGCCAAGTGCTAGCTCATGTTAAAAATGTGGAGACCATTACTAAAGAGGATGTTCTGATAAAAAGACAAGGCTGGAGAGAGTAGCCTGTGAGTCTTTTAGAATATACATGGATTCCTTGAGTAATTGACATACAAATGTACGTGTAATGGGCATGATTCTACTTCAATCACTACACATCATATAAAATGTAAAATTTCATTAGAGTCTTACCTTGGATCAAATCTTTAGCCTCTTGGGATACATTCTTCCAGGCTTCTCCTTCAAAGGAGAAATCTCCCTTTTTAATTTTCTTCATGATTTCCACTGCGCTGGTACACGTCAAACTTCGGTCATGAGATTGGAAGGGAACCTGTCCTGACAACATTGTGTACTATCAGGGAAAAAGTAACAAAACAGAATGACTACCTAGATCTGTTAAAGCCATGCTAATAATCTTAACAGTAACGTAATTGGTGTAATTTACCAACTGCTACAACTAGCATGATTGAGTTTAAAGATTACGTGACTTCTATCACTGAGGCAGTGCATACATCTCAAAGACTTGTAAACCAGTGGCATGGCTTATTATGATATAAAGATTTAAAATCACATTTATAACTATATTCAAAGCAATAAGAAGAAAAAAGGATAATCCAACTGCTTCAGAAAAGATGGTATTGATTGTTAACAGAAAATAAGAGAGACAGCAGAACTCCTTAATAACTATGGTTTTCTATTCCATTTCCACCATCCTTTCCCGAGGACATGTAACTATGGTTAAGGACTTGAAAAACTTTATATAGGCCTTCCTATTTGATCTGTAATTACCCCTGTTTTTATTTTATTTTTCTCACTGTTATCTTAAATACAGTGAATTATCTACAGCCACCTGTTTTCATTGTAGCCATATGTTTGAAATCTAAGTTTAAGATTTTCCCCTTTAAAAAGTTAACAGAATAACAAACAAGCCAAGGCTTATCTTTGTAGCAGAGACTGGATTTTAGAAAAGTGATCCTTTAAAATTCTCGGGAGGGTTTCTCTCTGCTCACTGACTTTCAGTCTTGCAGAAATGGCGGGTTGGTTATCAATGGTGGTGGGTTGGCTGGTGTTAAGTAGCTGTGTCTGGGTGTGGACCAGAGAGGACCAAAAGGTGGCCCCACCGGACAGTGTGAGAAGGGAGAAGTGGTGTCGGCAGGAGCCTGGGCTGAGGGAAGCGTGTTCACCATGGCACTTAGGAAGGGACACAGAAGGGAAGCTCAGTGTCAACTCCAGCCCTAATTAGAAGACATGGAAGCCACATGATGCTCCGGTGGTCTAGAAACAATATGCCATCTTTTCTGGTCACATGTCTGACAAGTAGGCTCACCCTCACGATGGCAAGATGGTGAAACAGCTCTTACACACTGGCTCTTCAGAAAAGATGGAAACTCCTAGACAGGCTAATAAAAATAACATAAAAAAGACAACCAGGAGATCCAATAAGGTAGGTAATAAACAAAACGTGAGTAAGAAGGATGGAGAAGACAGGAATAAGACCCAGATGCAGAAGGAAGAGAAACTTGACACCTCCGAGGTTACAAGAGACTAGAAGGCTTTGGACAAATTTAGATTTTCTGAAATAGAAAATTGTGCCTGAGAAGAATAAAAACTACATGCATGAGAATGCGCAGAGTTTGAAAATAGAAGACATGGAGAAGGAATCTCGGTTTCTAATTTGGAGCAACCTAACGAGGAAGACTAATTGCCCTAAGAAGAGCAATGTCAGAACATCTGTAGAAGGCAGACAAAACTCCCTAAATCCTTGATGTAGCTTGAAGGCAGGCTACGACTAGGTCTGAGTGAGCCAGTCCGCAGGCTGGCAGTAACTGTCCAAGATTAACTGGAGTCTCATAACTGATGCCATGCCTCCACCTGCCCCTCACCTGACTTCTTCCCTCCTCTACCCTTCATGCACACACCAGAGAAACAGTCATGCAACTTAAATCTTACAACATTCCCCTATCCAAATCCCTTCACTGGCTTCCTTTAGTCTCTGACTCTTGCTTCTCTTTTTCAGCTTTTTCAGCCTCAGCTTCTGCAGTTCCCCATATTCCAATCCTGTGTTCCCACCAACAGTTCTCGGGGCTCTGGGACTTTCCACATGCTGTTTGGTCTCCTTAAAATGCCATTTTCTTTCCTTAGCTGGCAAAGTCCCATGCATCCTAGGGTGGCTAGAGTGTAATCCAGTTACCCAGTTTGGGTAACTGGGAACTCTGCAGTCCTCTACTCCAGAGAGAAGACATGTGGCACAGACGCAGGGGAAATGAGAATTAGGGTCACACCTGGCTGCAAACAACTGTCAATTACTAGCTTTGGGATGGGCAAATTCATTAACTTCTCTTAGACCATTTCTTCATGGGTAAAAGTAACAAGTGATATTATAAGGTTATATGAAATTATACATTTAACATACCTTGTATTGTGCCTGGCACACAGTAGGTGCTCAGCAAATTGTTAACAAGTTTGTCTCTTAAGGCTTCCCCTCTATGGAAAGAATCCTTTCTTCATGATCTTATCCTCCACTCCTGTATCCACAGAGCTATCTAACAGCCACTGAACTGGTGTGCACACCTGTAGATGCGCTATCACTTTGTGGGGTAACTCAATACAACTGTCCACATTGCTAAACCATGAGCTCCCTAGAAGCAGAACTGTGTCTTATGTATCACTGTATCCCCGAACCTTGCATAGTGCCAGAATTTGCTATCCCATGCTTATTTCCTGAATGAGTAAGAACTCTTTGAGAATACTTAAGACAGTGATATGATAGAGACTGTACTGTGGTCTTGATTAAACAGAGGGATGCCACCAAATGACAGCTCTGATGAGTCTGTGGAACTTGTGTCACATGTGTTCCAGATCCCCCACTCTTTCCTCGGATGCCAGGAATTCCACTCCTTTTCCCTAAGTTTCTAGAATCCTATTTCCCTGACACTTGCCATTGAATAGAATGTAGTTTCCCTACGTCTTGCCTTTCTAGCTGCAAGTTTACCTCCCCAAACATGGAACAAAAGCTCTTCTAATATCTATAGTGAAAGAAAGAAAGGAAAGCAGAGCAAAGTTAGTCCTGTTAATGCGATTAGGTATCATTATAGGGTATTTTCCTCATTCCCCAGAAGTGGAATGATATAATTCTCATTTTGCAGAGCAGAAAACTAGGACTTCAGTGGTCAGGGGCATAATGAAACATCCTCCTCTAAAAGACAACCTACTGTACCTTGTACCACTAAGAAATAGGAATAGAACTTAGTGGGCTTCTTTGTATTTTGGAGGTAGCATATGTTGCACTTGAGAATACTGCTCTAAGAAATTTATCAAGTGACTCGGAAGGCTACCTGTTTCAAGTGGGGCCTAGCATAGGCTTTTGTTATAGGTCCAATCCTGTCAATTAGCAGGACGCTACTTAAGCCATAGGATTCAGTTGCTGTGATTGTACTACAGGTATCTGTGAAAGATGAGACTCTCTCGCCGCCACAACAGGAGTGCCTCAGAGCAGACCTGAAGTATTCTGGTGTAAGGTGGGGCCTTCTGGGGCAGAGAACTATTTTCCAAATAACAGCTCCTAGGATGTTACCAGATCCTGGCAGGCTCTGAGTGCCTCAACATGCAATCCCAAGAGCAGTGCATCATGTGCTAAGATCAGCAGATGCCTTGATTCACCAAGTCAGGAAGGTACAGCAACAAACCAATGCACTATGGAAATGGCACACTTAGAATCTGCCCTGGGCATGAGTCCAGAAGGCATGAGTAAATGAGATGCTTACATGCATGTCACCTGTCTTGGTTGCAATAACACTTCTTCCTTAACTCACACTATGGCCTCACTGAACGAGGTTCCCTATGATCAACTGATGAGTCTGGTTGACAGATGGTTCACTTAAGTGCAGCTGGCCTGTAGAACATGACAGACTCAGCAAAGATACCAGCTGGCTCAGGATAATACCTTGGGGGTCGGGGTGCTGTCTCTGAGAGCTGTGCGGAACCAATGGCTGATGGGTCCAGGTCCCCCGTATCTAGATTCTATGGGTGCATGACCCACTTACAGAACTCATGCTTCCTGGCTCTGCTCAGAGGTCTGTTCCATGAGCGCAAGTGATCAACTGCACTTGGTGATGACACGTGGCCAGCCCAGTAGTACATGCTCTGCTCTCTTTTCCTCACCTCTGCACCCTTGGGATTATGCTCTTTAATAACATAATATGACATAAGTATTAGCTTCAGGTTTCACTTTCTGGGGAATAAAGAATAGAATATCTTTCTCTCCACTCCTAAGTTTTCATTGTGTTAAAATACACTTAACAAAATGTACCATGTTAACCATTTTTAAGTGTATAGTTCGATGGTATTAAATATCTTCATCATCACCATCCATCTCTAGAACTCTTTTCATCTTGTAAAACTAAAACTCTATACACATTAAATACTAACTCCCCATTCTCCTTTCCCCCACAACCCCGGCAACCACCATTTTACTTTTTGTCTCTACGATTTCGAACACCCTAAGTATCTTTTCTGAACATACAGTATTTGTCTTTTTCTAACTGGCTTCCTTCTTTAGCATAATATCCTTAATAATAATGTTGTTGTATATGTGAGAATTTCCTCCCTTTTCAAGGCTGAATAATATTTCAGTGTATGTATACAGCACATTTTGCTTGTCTATCATCTATCCATGGAAACTCAGATTGCTTCCACATTTTAACTCTGTATGTGTCCATTAGATCTAGTTGGTTAAGTCCTCTATTTGCTTACTTATCGTCTGTCTAGTTGTTTTATCCATTATTGAGAGTGGGGTATTGAAGTCTCCAATAATTATTACAGGACTGTCTACTTCTCCCTTCAGTTCCGTCAGTTTTTGCATCATGTACTTTACTGGTCTGTCATTAGGTGTACAAGTGTTTGTAATTGTTATGTCTTCCTGTTGAATTGGATATTTTATTAATATATGAGGACCCTGTGACCCTCTTTGTCTTTTGTAAACTTTTTTTTTTTTTTGAGACAAGGTCTCACTCTGTTGCCAAGGTCGGAGTGCAGTGGCATAATCATGACTCATTGCAGCTGTGACCTCCCCAAGCTTGAGAGATCCTCCCACCTCAGCCTTCTGAGTATCTGGGACTATATGCACATGCTACTATATCTGGCTAATTTTTAAATATTTTGTAGAAATGAGGTCTCATTATGTTGTCCAGGCTAGTCTCAAACTCCTGGGCTCAAGTGATCCTCCTGCCTCAGCCTCCAAAGTGCTGGGATTACAGCTGTGAGCCACCACGTCCAGCCTCTTGTAAACTTTTTTGATTTAAAGTCTATTTGGTGGCTGGGAGTGGTGGCTCATGCCTGTAATCCCAGCACTTT